AAGTTTTACTGCGATACATTTAAACTCCTTAGCATAATAAGCTGCAAATCTGGTCTACTTAAGTCAAGTAAGCTATTATATAGCTTCTTTATACTTATTAAGGTTTTTAAATATAACAAGAAGTTATTCTTTAAAGGTTTTATAATCAGAGAAGATATAAATAACTTTTACTCTGGCTTTAGCGCTATACTTAAAATATGCATAAAGAATTAGCTCCTACTATTTTATTGCTTTTCTAGTTAAGAGATTACTAATATAAAGAATTTACGATTTAAGCGTTTTATAAATTTTCTTATTAACTTAGAGGTAAGCTTAGGCTTATATAAGGAAGTTCCTTATATCACCCTTATAATTATTATATAGTTCTAGCTTAAGAAATTTTAATATATTATAGGTTTTAATAAGGGTTATAAGTATAGTTTTGCGAACTACTATAAGTTCCTTTTCTTACTTGTTAAGTTTTTTATATAAATTATTTTATTATTTAAGAAGCTATTAATTCTGCTTCTTTATTTTAGTAATTTTATTATAAAGGTACTTTATTATCTCCCCTAGATTAGTAGTCTTTCTGCTTAAAGTAAATATCTTAGAAGTTATTACTGCTCAAAGTTTTAAGGTAACTTACTAAACAAGATTAATTAAAATATAATAGTAGCTTAGGTTCTAAGGCATAGTAGGTTTATTTCTTAGGAAGTAAGTCAGGTTAAATACTATAAAGTAGCTTTTAAGTAATATTATAATAAGGCTATTAAAAGTATAACTCTTAATAATAAAACTATTACTTAGATTAATTAATAAAAATCTAGATTATCTAGCTATAAAAATACCTTTTCCTTAAGTACTTATTTATCTTTTTATTATATTCTTAAATTAAATAAATCTTACTTAATTCTCTATATTAAATCAGATTAATCCCTTTTAATTTATTAGGTTAGCTTAGATTAATCCTATTTAATCCTGTTATATAACCTATAATCCTGTTAGGCTTTATTCTTATCTGTCTTTTACGGCTTATAACGCCGACCGTCTGCTTCAGGTACCCTTGGTTCGTAACACAGATCTAGGTTAGTCTTATCTAGACGCCGCCTTAGTTATATATAATAGTCTAGCTAGCCCTAGTATAAGGGCAGCTTATTTACCTTTTCTTAGTTAAAGAGGTTCTAAAAGTCCTATAAGTTATAGGGAAGCTAGGGTAGCTTCTTTTACTATTAGTCCAGGTCAGCCCCTTATATATATAATACTAATATTATCTTGCGTAAGCTTATAGCTATTAACTAGTACTTCTCTTTTATTTTTTAAGCTTATTAGATAATACTAGTAAATACTAACCTTATTACTAATACTATAAGCTTCTAGGTCCCCTGATTACTTAACCCTTAAATTATTAAGTTATTTATAATGCTAATTATAATTTCTTTTTTAGCTAGCTATACGCTTATATTATACTATATTATTTATAGCGTTCCTAGTATAATATCCCGTGTAAAGCCTAGTATTATATATACTATTACCAGGGATTCCTAGCTATTTATATTTACCTTAAATTATATTAAGTAAGAGATTAAGAAATATAACTCTTATTATACTACCCCTCTTTTTCTTATTTCTACTATAGTATATATTTATTATTGTTTACTTAATAGGACTAGGTCTAGTTTTATATACTATATAAATTTTTTACTTATTATTATATAATAATTATAGCTTATATTTACTTAAGCGTTTATAAACTTTAAGAAGTTAATTAATATAAAAACTAAGAGAGGTAATATATTTATTTTTAACCTAATTTCCTTTAGTTCTTATTTCTTATATAATATATCCCTTAGTTTATAATTATTATTATATTATAATACTCTTAATAAGAGACTTATTATAAGGGCGTCTTATTTCTTAACAGCTTTTTATTCTTATTTATACTAGAAGTAAAATTCTTTACTATTATTTTCTTTATATTAAACGCTTATAAGTATTATATAAGAAGGAATATATACTTTAAAATATAATAGCTTATAAATTTATAATATAAGTATTTTTCTTTCTTATATTATTAATTAATTATATTAATTAATACCTAATAAGCTTATTTCTTTTATTAGTTTTAAGGGTAATTATAACTTATACTCTTCCTAGGCCTAGCTTAAAACCCTAATTTACTTATATTTATTATAATTATATTCTTATTATTGTGCTGCTTCCCTTTAAGGTTTATATTATATTTACCTTACTTATTATAAAATCTCTCCTTTAATGATAATAATTTAATATTTACAGCTATACTATAAAAGTAAGCTATTATCTTAGTATATTTAGAATATAATATCTCTTAACTAATAATTTTTTCTTATATATATTTATTAAGAAATTACTATAATTTTATTAACTTAATAAAGTTCTTTTATTTAAAGCTTTTAATAAGTATAATTTTATTTTTAAATTAGATAAAAAAGTTTATAAATAATTTATTTTATTATTATTTTATTTAATTAAGCTTAGTAAAAGCTATTTTCTTCCTATAAAAATTAATATATATAGTAGCTAAGTAGCCTAGAAATATAGCTAGGTTATAGCTAACTTTCCTATTATCTTTAAAGTAAGGAGCTATTTAGCCCTAAACCTTAGCTAAGAGATTCTAGAAAATAAAAGCTTATTAATTATAATTATTACTTATAAATATTATATTTATAACTAGCTTATATTATATTAGGCTTTTTTAGGCTATAAATATAGTTTTATTATTATTAAATAAAGCTCTTATTAGGATTAGTTTACACTTTACTTAGGGGCTAATATAAGCTAATATTATTATTATAAAGGGAATTTATATTATTTAGTTTTTAAGAAGAAAATATTATTTAATAAGCTTATAAAGCTTTTATACCTAGGTAGTAATAACTTCTTAAAGTACTATAATATTACTCTAGGGGCTGCTAGCTAGTATAGTATTTCTAGGTATAAATAAGCCTGGTTTTATACTAGCTATTTATTTTATAAGATTATTTATAGTAAAGTTTATTTTTTATAATAAATTAATTATACTTATAGCTATATATATATATTATTAAATAATAAAAATAAACTTAAAAAAAAAAGAAAAAAAAAGGTTTTATCTTCTTTTTATTCTTCTTAATATACCTTATTTTAATCTAGAGTTTATTTATACTAGATTTAGTTTAGCTTTACTTAGAGTTTTATTTAAACCTTAAGGTTTTTAGTAGCTTAAAGTTTATTTATATTAAGTCCGGGCCGGCTCTGCTTAGGATTCTACCTAGACCTGAGCCTTTTAAATATTTATTTATAGCGCTAAGCCTAACTTATACCTTAGGGGAAATATCTTTATTATTATTAGTACTAGGGCTAATATTTTCCTTATATTTGCCTATTTACTTAGTTTTTAATTTAAGTAAAATATTTAAAAAAATATAATAAATATAAAGCTATTATTATATATTTAAGAACTAATTATTAAAAGTAAATTTTATTACCTTATTAAAGTTTATAATAATAATATTAGGCTATTAAATTAAGTATTTTATATTAAGTTTATAAATACTTTTTATAAGAAATTAAAATCCTTTTCTTTTCTTATTATTTATTAAATTAAATATAATATTAAATATTATTCTAAAATAGGTTTATTTAATAGCTTAAAAT